CGATATTCGGTCTTTTGGAAATACCAACAAATCAATGATTTTTTTGCAAAATAAAACTATGTTGATATTTTATCAGTGTCTTTATACTTAGATATTGCAGTTTTCGCGGTTGTTTATTATGGTATTTATGTTCTCCTACAATCTCATTTGTAAGACCAGTTAAAAATATACACACTTTACTAATTATTTTTATTATATGAATACCGTGTTATGCAGTGTCATAAAGCCATCACATAAATTATGTTGATGTAACGTGTGTAATATGATGACGTCACCATCGAACAGGAACAGTCAATATGACGTCACGTCATTATATTTACATTCTGTATGCTTAGACCCATTGACAAAAATTACATTCATAAATGCATAACACAGGTGTTCATAGAATCTCAGCACGTGGTAACTGATAGTAACCTGATCACACTGCGTAGTAATACACTACAAAAACTACTCACTCGGAACGACCGACCTAGATGCTTAATTCTTACATCTTAAAATATTATTGAACTGTGCTTGGTGAAATATCCACGTATTCACGTGTCCTGTGCTACAAATAAACATTGAATATGGAACTACATTTTGTTGTGTTATTGTTGTTGACGGTTGCTAAGATCTCTCACGATAGTGTCACATTTCCCCGCGAAAAAACACTGTTCTCGCCACTGCGTTGCACCCGTGTATAAGCAGGAACAAACCCTGTTTATTTGTTTTATTCGTTGTTATATCGATCCACTGAAAGGATTCGTCAATGTAAATATAAGGAATGATATTTATTTTTTCAACATTTATGAGGTCATAACAACAATGGGTTTTTGGACATATTTTACATGAATCGCTAACGCGATTCATTCAATATGTCCATAAACCCATTGTTGTTATGACCTCATAAATGTTGAAAAAATAAAAATCATTCCTTAAGTGAAGCGGACGCAATTTTCATCGCTTCAAATCTCAATTACACATTTTTCTCTGTATTATATTCAAAACAGCCTCCTTATGACGTCACTTCAGTTGTGTTTTCACGATTCTGACAACTAAATGCAGTACCTTTCTCTAGACTTTTGTTTATCGTATACATAACATAATGTCCAACAATGTTTTAAAAAATAAAAACGTAGCAAGGTAACCTCAAGACGTTTAATTTAACATTAATTTAACACAATTAAATCAAAACAGTTACACAAATTTAAATATATGTTAAATGTTCATCACCAAAAGTATCCATAAAATGTGGTGCATAAAACAGTTCTCGTCATGGGAACTGGTTTGGTTTCGTTCGTTTTAATGTTCTATCAACAGCTAAGATCATTTAATGACGAACACCATGTGGTTCATGTATGCGTGCATGTGCTGCAGGCCTGGTAAGTAGGAGTAGTTCCCCCTTGCAATAAATAAAATCTTAGTTATCTCGATAAAATACCATGCCGAAGGAACCCAGCACTGAAGCTCACATGATCACAAAATGCTGACAAGAGATTAACCAGTTGTTGCCATTTCCTTAACCAAGGAATAACAACCACCATCTTTAAGAAACTTTCAACACTTAAGCTTTTAATTGATGTGTATATGACAAGACACATATGTAGTTGTTTGGTTTTATTTTGTTTAACGTCCAATCAACAGCTATGGTCATTTGAGGTCGTGCCTGCATTTGTGTTGCGTATGCGTGCGTGTGTGTGTGTGTACAGGAGACAGAGTAGGTTGATGTACATTTATATTTGCCTTCTTGCGATAGCGCGGATATGATGCCATTTTTTATAATGACTTCGGTATGTCCTGGTATAAGGACAGAATCCATTATCTTCCCCACCCGGACAGATTTATTTGGTTGCTTTTTTGTCCACAAAAAAAGGCACAAAAGCAAATCCCCATTTATTTCCCCGATCATAGACCTGCAGGGGATGATATGTAACGGGATTAATGTTTTCATAAATAGCGTTGTTAAAGTAGTTATAGGAGGTTCGATTCAGTTATTATTTCACAATGTTAGTTGTATGTAGTTAGACAGCACTGTTAGTTCAGACAACTTTAAACTGTACATTTTGGTGATGACACCGGTGTTACAGATACTCACCGACTCAAGGACGTGGTCATGATATACTTGTTATAGATCGTGACCAGTGTGAAGTACGTGACTAGATACACAAGTATGTGTATGAACACATTTTATCTACGTTATCGTTTCTCATGAAAGTTTAGGATCGTACCGGGGTTTCGTAGCTCTCCTTCTGATTTAGCAGTAGTTAAGGCCCAGCATCACTTTGGAGTCCTAGACGGACGAAACAGCTGTATATGGAAGTGTAATTTACATACAGACTCTGTTATCATAGCGTAAAGGTGCAGACACATATGTATTGGTAACATTTCTCTTACAAGTTTATAAAGTGGTACAATCTTCGTATATGCGTATTTCATAAACATTTTGTTTCGATAGGATTTTTACGAACTTAAAGTTTCAAAGATGGAAATTATTTCAGCAAAAATGAATTGATTTAAATATAACAATTTCTTTTCAAAAATATACTTGCTATTTTTTTTGTTCAAGATATATTGGCGTTAAAAATAGACATCGGAATTCCTTCGGGTTTCACTCAAATTGCCTTATTGCGCATTTAGATTTATGAAAAAGACAAGAGAACTGCTGTTTCAGTACAAGTATAAACCATCGCCAACCTCTTGATAGTATTGCTTGTTTCCGTCCGTATACAAATGATTTCATGTGCTATAAATTATATATGTTTGTTTTGTAACAAGAAAACCACGTCTCGATTAAAATGGCATGTTATATTTATGCATGTACGTGTACTTGGCCGAATCTATACAAATAAGTAATAACACGACGATTTTTCATAATGAAGCATCAGTGAAGACCACAGCAGGAGAGCAAATCTAAAAGAGGTCTAACAAAAAAGTTCAATTCGATTGAATTTACAGTTAACATATTATTAACATTTGTATTTATAATTTTATATGGTTTATAAACAAGATATGTTGAAATGGAAGCACAATGATTATATCTACTAATCTGTAAATTCACACTCTGAATGGGATAACTCTTATGGGCTTTGCTTGTCCGCCCACGTTGGTATATGGTTATTAGGTATGTTGTGTACGTATGCCTGCGTGTCTGTGTGCAGGAAGCAGGTTATGTTGGTGGATTTGCCTCCTTGTGAAAGTGCGGATCTGATGCCGACTTTATAGTGCTATCTCACTGAAATACCATGCCGAAAGCACCCAGCCCAGGGTGATCCAGTTGTTGCAATTTCCCTAAATACTGAACGTTAAGCAGGGACTAACAACTACCATGTTTAAGGACTTTGTTGTGTCCCGGCGTGGGAGGGGAACCCATTACCTTCCTCACCTTACAAAATAAAACCAAACCAAACCAAATCCCCATTAAAAATACCTTAAACCTGAACGCCTTAGTGGGTTCCAATAAGGTATTGCATCATGACCGTTCATCAATCTATCCCTCTCTTAGGGTTGCCTTCGTCAACACCTGACTAGGTGATATAATGGCCATCACTGTTGTGACGATATAAAACACGATACAAAAGTATACATGCAGTGATGATCTACATCTACATTAGTTGATACACTACAAACATAGCTGGTGTAACAATACTTTCAGTGTTGATACCGCCCATAGCTTTTTTACTCGTTTGACCCAAATGCCTCGCTTTATCTGTTGGCTGTAAAACAATATAAAAACCAAGAGATTCTACCAGGATATTACCACCGACAATGAAAGGATCTTTATCAGATCTACAAGAAATTATCATTTACTTTGCTTGCTCTTCATTTTTACAGGTACCTTTAACTAGTCCGTTGTTGAAAATCCTAAACGGGAATCTTGTACCTTTACTTAATCTAATTAATTGCCAGGTGCTCTATATAACACCCTACTGCAAGCTACAATTTAAAGTTTGAGATATTTTATAATTAGCCTGGTCTTAGGCTGAAGGCAATCCTTATTTGTTTTCTGGTTATTGCTATGGTAATTGGTATGTTTTGATTTCCTTGCAAATGTAAAAAGGAAGGTTCCTTGTGGTATGAAACACTGCAATGTAATAATGTGGTGACATTTCATATTATATTGTTCTAAACAAGTATGCTTTAATTTATTGGAAGTTATAATAGACTCAGAAACATTTTTTTATTTGTTTCATTTTATTTCAATAATCATGATGCAGTATAAGAATTTCTATTTCATTTCATATTTGTAAGCAGTATGAGTGAGACCATTTTCACCCTCTCCGGAGGTTTGTAGAAATGAAGCCAATAAACAGAACAGTAATGAATGCGTACATGTGTATGTATGCTTGTTGCAGGGTATGTTTGTGTACTAACTTCTAGTAATGGCGAGAATTTGACTATTTCACTGATATATTATGTTTCGTCATGTTATTGTTACTAAATGTGTTTCATTGATTCCGCAATTAGAGCAAAAGCCCCCAAAAAAATTATGTGTAAAACAAATACCTAACTTGAATTTTAAAATTTGCATAGGCCATATTCCTGCGATGTTTTTACCTATCTTGATATCTCTACGAAATCACTCGATTTTTTTCTTTTTTAAAGAATATTATTACAAAATGTACATGAAATAAATTATTTAGATGACCACTGATGTATTTGAAGTATAGAGGGCACCCATTTGTTTTTATTTAGCCCTGCTTATCATACTTCAAATAAAGAACTTGTTCTAGTGTCTTCCCATCGTAAAAGAACATTAGCGAAAATGGAAAATCCATTAAAACCCAAAGCAGAATAAGATATTGCGGTTCCATGCCTCGCTTAAAACACAACGCATGGGCTGAATTTACTTCTGTATGAATTAAAAAACTTAAAATACACCAGTGTTTATGTTTCATGATCTCGGGCCCAGGTTTTAAGTACATACTGAAGAGAAAATAGTTTGTCGTAAGTAGATACGCAAGCAATAAGGAAATAAATCCTATGACTCAATATCAAATGGACTTAATATGAAACATCAGGCCGCAGATCCTTCATTCTTTCTCCGGCAGTGCAACGGATAACTTGTCGTGATGAAACAGATCATTGCTGTTTGTTTTGTCCTGGCAATCGTTGCTTCAGGGGTATATACCCTTACTGGGTGAGTTTTCTTGTATTTAATTATTGTACATGATTTTGGTGACTATTATTGCTATTGTTTATCTTTGCTTTTTACGGATATATATATATATCCGCGAAACGAATATGCCGATTTCATTTATATTTTAACATCCTTTTCATTTATAAAGATCGAGAACAAATACGTTTGACTACAACCTTGAACAAAACAATTTGCCTCGCCACATTTCATCCCTTGCGATTAGAAGCTTTACAGATGCTTCTGACATCAATTAAAAATATTTGCTATTATTGTATGCTTTGGTCGATGGTGATATATTTACATTTGTTGTACATGATATTTACATTATCTTTTGATCAATGTTGTGCGCACCATGTGTGGACGATGTGCGGACGTTGTGTGAACGATGTGTGTACGGTGGGCGCACGGTATTTTTGTTGCGTTGTGCGGTCACACAACTGTAAACACTAAAATATTTACTACTCTGGAAAAAGCGACGAAAATATGTCTGCTGCAACACTTGGGATAAGTATAGTTCCCTATACTTTTTGATACCCGTTGTTGCCTAGCGCCTTGCTTGCATATACCTCACTTTTGGTATTAATTTTGAACAATTGCCTTGTGGGAAAGGCAATGGAACGTATAAATAAGAAATATACATATGTAACTTTACACATAAAACACCAAAGATATCTTTCATACCATCACACATACGTTTTACCTATAATGGTGTTCATCACATTCATCGCGCTGTGCAATTAATTTTTAAATTATAAATTAATTATAATAAAATAACTAAACGCAACACATGTCCAGGATGCTATGGACAAAGAACTTCTTTCAATGTAAGTCGGAAGTATGCAGTGTCTATCATGTAAGTCTTACTCCTTAGAGTGTCTCAAGTCGTGTGTCGGACTATATTTGATATAATTGTCAAGCAAGGTCAGTTGACTAAATAACAATTCTGACCATTCTAGTTAGTAACGCACAAGCAACACACAAAACGAGTACTCCAACACGATCAATGACGTCACAAACATGTGTAATTTCAGGTAAAATACATACGAAATACGAAAAGACGGAATAACGAACACATAATTATCACCGGGCTACATATACACATATTAATTAATAAAGTGTTGTGACAAAGAATTAAAGGACATGTAACCAGAAACGTCTGTCTGATTGTGTATTGGCTTTTACAAAATGAGGATCCAAATACCATCACGTTTCAGCAAAACTATGAAGATAGTTTCTAAGGAAAAGTTCAAAATATGATAGTTTCAGTTTTTGTACTAATTGACCCCTATGATCCCCAACATCTGAGGGGTAAGCTCCTTCGCGAGTTTAAATATTGATCTTCATCATGTAAACACCATTCTTTAAAATGATAAAAGTTTTGCAAAAGAAGTCTTTGGAAATTTTTGAAATATGTGTAGCGTTTTGTGCCAGCCCTTCAGCCAACTGGGGAATCAGACCCATCTCAAATTCTGATTCATACCTCAGTCTGATGATAATCATCAACTTTCATTTAAATTTGACGTACTATTTTTTCGTTAAATGTAGTAAACATAACCCACTTTATGCAATACCAGAAATATTAATGATATAGTAGTCAGTCTGGGTCGCAGATGATTCCCATGTACACACGGAAAAGGTTCGAAGTAGTGAGTATTATGGTCGTTTTCATTTTTGTATAAACATGTATTCATTACCTTTTATTGTTTTTCTAGTGCCTTGGAAGTGGCACTTTTAGCCCTTTTCAAAAATTCTTGGTCGAATGTCTGACTGTGACATGGCTTGTCTGCCATTTCCTGTTTCCTTATTAGAATTGCCCCCAATGTGTCATTGGATATTGATCCTCTGAAATCGGTTTTCTGACAAGAAAAAATCGGTTTTCTGACAAGAGAAAAATACGTTCACATCCAGCATTGCTATTTGGTATAACCAAGACACTTTTCATCATGACTGATATTTGATTGTCCAAGTTCATTCTTCAGTTCACTTATGTTCTTTCATACTGTGTTGATGGATAAAGGTCTATTCCTTACAAGGGGTCTATCTGGTAGGCCAGAAACTGCCTTTGTATACAGTTCATTGTCTCTGACCAAACTATATCTTTGTCCGAAGGAACTGGTTTGAATGTTTTGGCAAAATACTCCACAGACTTTACTTTCCTCAATTTGACATCTGCGATCTCAGCATGTTTCAGAGCTTCATCCTGGAGTGGGAATTTCAGCTTCATATATTCAAGAGCAGTTTGGTAGTAGGTTTTCACATCTTCATAGAAAGCGAACTTGTTCTTTTTCAAGAAATTGACCTACTTTATATCTTTTAACCAGATCTTCATTTTTCAGGATGTTCTTCTTGTTCCTAATGTCAATGTCCAAAACATTAGAACAACTTGTAATTGCCTGTGGTGTCACAAGTCTACTTAGAAGTCAAGAAGTGTCCGCTACAAACTATGAATTAAATGTTCCGCCTCTTGTAGCGTCAGGTTGCATCTGTCAAACACCTGTATACAGTTGTTAAGGAAGGACAAAGGCAACACATCTTCTAGATGTAAACAACTTGTATTATCTTTCCTCTCTCAGGTAAGGTAGCGGTGTGCAGTAGCGTACCGTGGCCATGGGTGATATTTTTATACAATGAATAACCCCTGTAATAATACACGTATGAAAATTAAAAAAGCAATCAGCACTAAAATTGACATGTACATAAAGTGGACTATGTGAGCTTCATCATTTTCCAAAAAAATAATTCGAATTTGGTTTGAGACTACAGTTTTGGGCAGGTTTTAAGAAAATAAATACTACTTGGGGGGGNGAGTTTATAAATATATATATATGTAGGTGTGCTCTGCAGGTTGAATCCACTATCCACGTTTATCTGAGACATGCCCTTTATTTTTAGGATCAGGCCATTTCTACTGTACTCTGCTACCTAAGTTTTGCCTGCCCTTTATTAGACTCTGCTTCACTCTTGGATGATCCTTCCTTTCTATTGCCGCTCTCTCCTTTATATCCCTTAGATGGCCCAACAATCACACTCGGTCTATTTGCGTTTGTTTTCTTTATGTTGTTTACATTGTCCTTTGCTTTCATATCTTCTTTCTTTTTGTCATCTACTTTATTTTTCCCCCTCATGTTTTTCAGTGTAGAAACGCTTTAACGGCCTCCATTGTTCAATCATTGCAAACATTTGCCTGGAGAAGGCCACCTGGTGCACACAGGTTTCAGAATATCATAGGTTCCAACATCACACAAGCTTTGACATGCATGTAAGTCTTGTTTTCTGTTAACACTTTTGTCAGGCATACTTTACAATGTCCGGATACGGCTTTGAATATTCTTGTCTGAACGTCTGAATAGATAATTTCCTTTTTTTTCCGAGGAGAATTGTCTTCTTGCCCTTCCAGTTTGACACGTTTTCCCGCCATTTTACTTCATCTACAAACGTGCTTTTTACATTGAATTAACCCTAGCCTATCTCGAGAATCGATGCGAACAAACGTGTGTATCTTATTTGTGGTTATAATACTGAAAACGGACATCAGAACCGGATAACGGCAAAACTAACCAAAAAACCCGGAAAAAAATCATATTTTTATTCGCAAAAATCGTACTTTAACTTGGAAAATCGTACAAGCGTAATTCAGACCTAAAATTCGAATAAATACGCCTAAATCGTAAGAGTTGGCAGCTCTGTAATCGACACCCTGCTCCTCAGCTCGTCTCAATGGATTGTTTTCCCCATCTGTAGGGTCTCAGAGATCTCAAATGTATTTGTCGAAGAGTAAAATATACTTTGTTCATCAGATTTAATCAAGAAAGAAGATACTAATGATGTCATAGCAAATTCAGCGTACAAACATCGCGTTACAAATGATATGCCAAACGAAAGTTCATATCAGTTGCCTTGCATGATATATCACTACATTTTGCTCTTTGAATTATTCTCGATAATGCTTGTCCTATTTGACCGACATATGAAAATGTCTCATTTCGATTATCAACAATGTTATACATCATTATTTTACAAAATATCAAAATGATACCTAGTTCAAGCAATTGGATTTTTTTTCGATTCTATATTACAGTATGGTACTTATCCATCGCCTTAGGCGTTGTCGGTATACTATAACCGGGGAAAATGCTATGCTTGTTGCCTTCGGCATGGTATTTCAGTGAGATAGCACTTTAATGCCGGCATTAGATCCGCGCTATCACAAGGAGGCAAGTACACGAACATACCTTGTCTCCAGCACACAAACACCCGTGCACGCTTACACAATACACATGGAGGCACTTTCTAAAATGACCTTAGCTGTAATAGGACGTTAAACAATATAAAACACAAAATCAAAATCTGAATAACAGTGCAGAAAATGTCATAATTCTAAATATGAAGCACTACATATATTGTAAAAAGTGTTTTTGCAAAGAGCTTTACCTACCTACTCTAATCAGTAAACTGAAAACAGCATACATACACTATCGAAAGATACATAGCAAACAAATATGACATTGAAGCTTCTATTATCAAAGATTTCAGTGCCTATCATATAGTTTTTAGATAATTAGATATATATATATATAGATGCATGCATATACCAAGGAACTATATTGTCATTATGGATAAAAACTAAGTAAACCTTCTTTTTTTTCTCCTCTTTTCTTCTTTTTACTATTTTATTTTTCATCTGCTGATATGTTTACAATCATCACCCTTTCATAAATAGTTATTGCTTTCGTCGGGAATCTCTCTTCCTCTCTTCTTGCTCGTATGTCTCTCTTATCCCTGTCACCCTTTTTCTGGATACATTTCTGCTTTTTTTACCCAAACTATCCCCCAATCTCCCTTTCAATTAGTTCCAGTCAATTTATTGTATATTTATTTTTCTAGGCGTATGTTATGCAAGTTATATTTGTAAACCAATATTCACACATATTTCACACCTATAAAAAAAATACTTTTTTGGTCGTAAATAACCAGTTTATCATTAATTTAAAAATTAATGATAAACTGGTTATTTACGACCAATTTTTTTTTTATATGTGTGAACTTTTAGTTAGATATATATATTTTAATTCAAAGCCTTCTTGCAGAACAGAGTTGCACAGAATCATGATAAAACTTGAATATGTATGCTTAATTAAGAGAGTATTAATGTAAAGGACTGTAGCTGATGCGTTCCATCCTCAGACGGTTCCTCATGTATATGATGGAAAACAAAAAAAACAAAACAAAACAAAAAATATAAACCAAACTATCCATCCACTTTGGACAGAAAGAATACTGTTTTCCTTTAGAATTTACTTCCTTTCAACAGCTAATCGCATTTAAGGACTTGCCTCTATGTCTGTAGTGTATGCGTGCTTGCGTAAATTTGTGTATTCTGCAGGACGCATGTTCTTTCCTTCCTGTGATAGTGCAGATCGGATGCCGACTTTATAGTTATATCACTGAAATACCATGCCGAAGGCAGCCAGCACAGCATTCCGTTCGGTCGCATTATACTGACAATGGGTGAACCAGCTGTTGGCGTTACCCTACATGTTGAACGTTTAGCACAAACAACTACTATTTTAATGGGTTTGAAATGTCCAGGCCTTGGTAAAGAACCCGTAGCCTTTCTGGCCTTGGCAAACGTTCAATATTTAAGAGGTGTTGTCAAGTGAGGCGTTAGGAAATAAAAGGTTAAAAGAAGAAGAGATAAATATAAAGACAACAAAAATTGTAATGGGTCAGCAGTTTTATTTTGGTCGCTTTCGAAAGCAAATCCTCAATTCTGCAAGGGTTTCCCGTATTGGGTTGTGACATGGAACCGTTCCTGTAAGGCTTTTTATGTCAGTTGATTGGTAGAATTGTTCATGGGTTTCTTTGATTTGTGTGATACATCTTCTTTAAAACTTATTGCTATAAATCTTAACTATTAGCCATAATGTTCCTTCTATGTCGTATGTTCAATTATTCAAGTGAGTAATGAGGCCCTGTTGACCTCTTGTCCTCTTCTCCTGCATCGTTTTGTTTTTCTGTTGTTTATCTCTATTACTAGACATTGATATTGTTTTTACCTTCAGTACTGTTTGCAGCCGAACAGCCACCCATGTTCATGTGTCGAGATACTGCAAGTTTTGGTTTTTAGGGTAAGGAGTGAAATTATTATTTTTATGATATTCTTTTTTTATAATTTGGGATTGAATTACACGCGATGAGAAACACATGTACACAAATATGTAACATCCTTTTTTTTTTCGAATCACACACGAAACTTTATTAAAAGCACGATGCCATAACTTAATTACTAATTTAATGATTCAATAACGGATGGATTTATTTTCGATCAGGCAAAGGTACATTTTCCAATGCAGACATTTAAATGAAATTCAATGTGCAACCCAAAAACCTTTCCATTCTTTTATCCATTTTGATTCCTGCGATGTTCATTTTGAGACAACTATATATAAAATTGATGTCTTCTGAAACACCTTAAAGATGTTTTAATTGTCAAAATATTTTCTCACTTAGGTGTTGGGCTTGGGGCACCCGTAGATACTGGTCATACTACCGTGTAGAGTACTGCTGTAGGGGATACAGGTCTATCTATGGACGTTGTGATCGTAAGTTTTTTTCAGCGATATGAATGGGGTGCCGTTGTGATGTTTCTTTCGGGTTTTTAATATTAAAACATCGAGGTATCGTCATTAAAAATAGTTCTCCACGTTAGAAAGTCGAATTTTTAACATCAAGAAAGGGAATTCCTGACGACAATTATTTTTAATTTCATGACCAAGAGTTGCTTCTTCTCAATGATATTTAACAAAAACAAGTATGACGACATTGTTGCCATACCCTTAACATGGCACAAGTTGTGTTTCCTTTTGTGGAGTGATCGACTCGGTGTGAAATATTTAACCTTCGGAAATACGTTTTCAAAACCCCATTATATGACTCATAAAACTGTTTGAATTTTGTTTGTTTTAATTTTTCCATTCCAATAAATAAATATTTCATTCCTTATCCATCTTGAAAATATTGAAATGTGGATATTTGATGGTAATTTCGATGTTAAATTAAAACATATTCATACAGCCGCAAGCAACAATAGTTGTTCTTGTACAAATAATTCTGTCTGAGAGACATCTACAATAAGTAAAAACTTTGAAAGTAACATTGTTACGGTACATGATTCATTTTAAAATGGCTTTAAAAAAAGAAACCTGCTTTATTATAACGATTGTAATATAAAAAACCACACTTAAATACATTCAAATCTTGATCTCTCATTCCAGCACATTGTCCTCGAGGGTGTGGAGGAGTGGGCACATGTGTTGCCCCGTCTGTATGTAACTGTGGTCAAACTCACACAGGCCCAAACTGCGGTAAACGTAAGTGTTATGCCAAAATTATAATTATAAATAGGTTCTTGTATGTATTGCAGTTGTCAAATGACGAAATTTTGTTACAGATCAGTTGACATTTTAATGTTCCGACAATGCCGTTTGCTGAATTATTATTTCGATACATATTTCGTTCCTTAACGCTATGTTGATAATATCAGCATGCTGTTACCCAACGCATGTATCTTAAGAGGCGACTAAAGTGGGAGCCGCAAGCAGAATTGGACAATTGCTTTTGTACCCTCAACATAGGGACAAAAAAGCGACCAAAATAAATCTGCTGCACCCATTGCAATATTTGAGATCTTTATATTTCTCTCTATTTCTAACAAAATTAATTGTTATTCCTAACGCCTTGCCTGGCAGCACCTCAATTTTGGCTTTAATGTGCAATATTTGAGATCTTCATATTTCTCTCTATTTCTAACAAAATTAATTGTAATTCCTAACGCCTTGCCTGGCAGCACCTCAATTTTGGCTTTAATGTGTAATATTTGAGATCTTTATATTTCTCTCTATTTCTAACAAAATTAATTGTAATTCCTAACGCCTTGCCTGGCAGCACCTCAATTTTGGCTTTAATGTGGAACGTTTGCCAAGGTGAGAAAGGCAATCGGATCAGTCCCCAGGCTGGAACATTCCAAATTCCTGAAAAGAAGTTGTTATTCCCTGCTTAACATTCAGCATTCAGGAGAATGACAACAACTGGTTCACCCGTTGTTAATATAATGTGACCGGGCAGAATGTTGTGCTGAATGTCTTCACCATGTTATTTCAGTGAGATAATAATATAACGTCGGAGTGCTATCACGAGGAGGCTATTACACCAACATACCCTGCCTCCTGCACACACACACGCAAGCACACATTTAGGCAGGTCATTTAATGACCTTAGCTGTTGATAGGACGTTAAACAAAATAAAACCAAACCGATATTTATTTTGAAACATACTGTTCCCGTGGAGGCTCTACAAGCATCTCTGTTTAGCTTTTCGTCAGAATGACCCGATATTAGGAGTACACAACCGGTTTCGCGTGACCTTATTTATAATGATCTTGTCCTATGATTACCGAATATAATACTTAATTTTCAACAATGGTTTGAAATTTAAAGTGAATGTTAATATGAATTGTAAATAAAAAAAATGCAATAATTTGTTCAGAACGCGGTGATTTTTTACATCAGTCAAACTAGCAATGAACTCGGAACATGAATGACTGTACATAAACAATAAACTAAAACTGAATCTGCAAATAATGCAGCGACCTCCCAAAGACATAGGTCACGTTCTATATCTGCAAATGAGTGTAGTACATATCGCTTTAATGTTCGGCAGTACATTTGGAATACGCCATAACCAAACGCATGCTTAAACGTTTTAATTGTATATTACTAATTTATTTTTCCAGCCGCTTGATTGATTCTTGCACTTGTTCAAGGGCAGAAATTGAATATCCATGCAAAATATGTCTGACAATGCTCTCGAAACTAAAGTGATATAGTGGTGATAGATGTTATCAGTACCGGATCAGAGGCTACTCCTTAATAGACACCGTATTTAGTCAGCATAGTGTTACTTCCTCAAAGTATTTATATCTATATTCATAACCTGAAGAAACAAAGATATTATTTAAACCGTACATTAAATGTGGCGGTGGGAATATAAGAATTGGATGTGTGGATATGATTCTTCAAGAAAATCACATGATAATCTTAAGACAAATGTCGATATACAAGTACTATTCAAGAGACATACTGACAAATGTACAAAACAATCTCTTGTTCCGGTAATACACTGACACATGTACGATGCATTCGTTTGGTATTCCTAGTAGCACAGTTAGTAACACCAATAAAATATTAACAAAGCATGTTAAAGGAAATGACATCAAACAACCGAAAAGTACAGGACAAACGGTAACAGGAAAAGTAAAGATTGTTTCTTTGGCTAGTTATATCTTTTTTTACAGACCAACCGTTTTTTCGCCCGTTCATTTTAAACTCCGTAAAATCACAGATAACAAATAACATTCTATTAAACCTGAAATCGGTGAATGGCATCCTTGCTTAAGAGAGTGGCGCCGAGACAATGTTGTCTTTGCCCGTCTCCGGATGGGTCATTCATCATTTTGTTATTTATCGAAACGCGTAGACCAGCCTCAATGCATAGCGAGTCAGGAACCATTAACAGTAAAACACATATTATCAGAGTGTGACGACCTTCAGCCAACTCGAGAACATTTTTATAATAACGTTACTTGTCTTAGACCTATTTTCGAAACAATAACTGTCTACAGTTTTAGGCTATCTGAAAGCTGTTGATCTTTTTGAAAAATATGAGTTACCTTAGCCAATTTCAATATTCAAAATGACGTTTGTCTTTTACCTTTAAGTTTGTTTGATGTTTTTGTAATTTGTTTTTACCATTTGTTTGCCCTAAAGAATAATCATGTGTTTTTAGACCGTTAAGCATGCAACAATAATAATAATTGAGGTAGTTTGGAATTGTTGAGACACGTACTGCTTTGAAGAGATATTCGAGATTTGTGCTGAAGGTCACTACAATACCATGATAAGTGTTGAATTGTAAATTGTTCGTGACATGCTAGGTATTGAGGCTGGTCTTCAATAATTGGGAGTGGATAACGTATGAATGATCGTTCCGGGGACGGGCGGGGACAACCTCGTTTCGGCGGCTGTCTCTTTATCTTGGTACCTTCAGCCAATTTTGGGTTTTATAGGGTGCAATTTGTTGTCAACGGATTGATTCTATTCATTTTGCCCCAATAACTTTACCAGATGTGTTAGTGACGGTTTAATTTCAACTTTTTGGCCGTGTGAAATACTGACGAGTTGACGGTATACAGTTTTTTTAATCATATGTTGACAACTGTTTTTCATTGATGTACTTTTACGTGAACGGTATATAACCCTTGTTCCGGTGGCATAACGACAAATGAATAGGGCACGGCTTTTGTTTAATGTCAAACTGACTAAGGTACGGTACACAACTTTCTTTCAAGTGGCATACTTACAAATGTACGGTATCAAATTTCAGTTTCGAATGACTCTTATGTTTCATACGACATTAGATGTTTCAAGGAGAAAAAATCCAATTGTATATAAACAAACTCCTTCCATGTGTGATAATGGTTGAAAACATGTAAGACTTCTATAATAAACACACAATTTAAGTAGACGGCATAGCACGCTCATCATTTATTCTTCTAGCATAGTATTTAAAATTGTACCAAATAGGGTAATCTAATTTAATTTGTATTAACTTAAGTGTATTTATGTATTTTTTAATTTGAATGTTAATAATTATTTTTGTCTATTTTGCTTCTATTGTTGTATCATTGTGTTAAGAAACCAGTCTTTCCTTTGTTTAGCGCAATGTTCCTACAGGTTCCCATGTTATCCTGGAATATGTTCATTACCTGACCATTGTGAATGCGCAGACTCTTTTGGCAAGCGTCGGGGAGAGAGCAAAAAATGCAACGAAAGTAAGTTTTTGATTTTCATAAAAAAACCAGTTATCAAATACAATCAATACCCAATGAAGTTTATCTGTCATGCATTTTCGATTTACAAAATATCAGTGACGCAGTATATTTTAAGCAGTAAGATGTTCCCTGAAGCACCGGGGCTGGTTTTTTCCGTGTCTTCTTTTAAAGGAGTCTCTGGAGAATAAAGAAAAACCTGCTGTTTCCAAATGCTGTGTATCGTTTCGTTAATTTTCCAAATGCAAAAGCTTGTCAAAGTAAAACTCGTGTCTTAATACTATCTGTAAAAACTACCCTCATCGAGCTAGATAAATGTGACAATCAACCATCACTTATTTGGAAACCTATGTACAACTAATTTTTTGATATATAAATATGTGCGTGTTGACTAGTTACAAAGAGGCCATCGGTGATGATTGCAAATGCTTCCTTGGAATACTACGACAACGACAGACAAGACATCATATACTCGGTAACCGTAGTTGCCCCTGACAACGGCACGAACACTCTGACCTGGTGGTCCAACATCGGTAAGTTCAACCGATTTGACATCGCTATGGAGGCTTTTCTGGATCTTGGAGAACTTCCTCACAGACCGGAGTACGTACGATCTGACAAGTTTGGAATCAAGAGCGCTCATATTGACTACACTATAACAAAAGGTAAGCAGGCTGGAATGTACCCCAAACGGGAATAACTAAAATATCCCTTTCGCTGATCAAAGTATGTCTCGTTGAAGGCATTCTAAACAAAAACAAATGCTAACACCTTTATGGTCATTCAGTCTAAAGTATCATGTCAGTAGGAATTCAATATTGTCACCGAACTTAGGAAGTAGATATTCCAAAAAGAACGTCACATTTTTAGCGTATATTGTTTTGTTTTTTTACGAAACTGCAACATAAAAATATCAATATCGATTCATCCATATCAGATTCAATGTGTTATTTTAGCATCACACAGCGTTCCGAATGCAACAGAAAGGGTCATCTGTCAGACAGCTAACCAGGAGCCAGAATCTGGCGTAGTCAATTGTGCTAAGCACGTGCCTTTCTTTGGATATCGCCTGGACAATGGTGACGTGTAAGTTATAATATTACATATTAATCAAATGTAACAATCATTGAGTCTAATGATATATGTTAACATGCACGTACATGTTGAATAAAGGATGTACTCTTCTGAGGTTTCAATCACGTTGAAGTCTCGTTTTGATCTCATGTAACGTTTTTTTGTAATATTATAAAAAGACGATTTAGCGGCCGTTTTGAAAATAATTTTTCTTGCGCTTATCGAAAGACCAAAATTACACCTTGTTTGACACTAGATTGATCACTGAAATCGTCATTGTGTTCCCTATGATGAAAATAATATGCAACAAAGAAGAAATCAAACATAATTGTTTTTAGCTCACCTGGCTCGAAGGGCCAAGTGAGCTTATGACATGGTGCAGCGTCCATCGTCCGTCCGTCCGTCGTCCGGCATCAATATTTTTCTTTAAACAACATCTTCTTAATAACCAAAAGGCCTAGGGTGATGATATTTAGCCAGAAGCAAACTAGGATGAAGGGCTACCAAGTTTGTTGAAATAAATGACCTTCACCTTTTTTCAAGGTCACAGGGGTCAAATATGTTAAAAACTTTAAACAACTTCTTCTGAATAACCAAAATGACCAGAGTGATGATTTTTGACTAGTAGCATGCTGGGATTAAGGGCTACCAAGTTTGTTCAAATGAATGACCTTCGTCCATTTTCAAGGTCACAGGGGTCAATTGTCTTAAAAAATCTTTCTACAACTTCTTCTGAATAACTAAGAGGCATAGGCTAATGATATTTGGCCAGTAACATGCTAGAATAAAGGGCTACCAAGTTTGTTCAAATGAATGACCTTTACTTATATTCAAGGTCACAGGGGTCAAATATGTTAAAAACTTTTAAACAACTTCTTTCGAATAACCAAGAGGCCTAGGATAATGATATTTGGCCAGTAGCATGTTGGGATGAAGGGCTACCTAGTTTATTCAAATGAATGACTTTGACTTATATTCAAGGTCACAGAGGTCAAATATGTTAAAAACCTTTAAACAACTTCTTCTGAATAACTGAGAGGCATAGGGTTGCGATATCTGGTCAGTAACATGCTGTGATGAAGGTCTACCAAGTTTGTTCAAATGAATGACCTTCGTCCATTTTCAAGGTCACAGGGGTTAATTGTCTTAACAAATCTTTAAACATCTTCTTCTGAATAACTAAGAAGCCTAGGCTAATGATATTTGGCCAGTAACATGCCAGGATGAAGGGCTACCAAGTTTGTTCAAATGAATGACCTTTACTTATTTTCAAGGTTTCAGGGGTCAAATATGTTTAAAACCTTTAAACAACTTCTTCTCAATAACCGAAAGTCTTAGGATGTTGATATTTGGCCAGTAGCATGCTGGGATAAAGGGCAACCAAGTTTATTCAAATGAATGATCTTTACTTATATTCAAGGTCACTGGGGTCAAATATGTTTAAAACATTTATACAACTTCTTCGGAATAACCAAGAGGCCTAGGATAATGATATTTGGCCAGTAGTATGCTGGGATAAAGGGCTATCAAGTTTGTTCAAATGAATGACCTTTACTTATATTCAAGGTCACTGGGGTCAAATATGTTTATAACCTTTAAACGACTTCTTCTCAATTAGCCAAAGGCCAAGGGGGATGATATTTGGTCATTAACAGGCTGGTATGAAGGGCTACCAATTTTGTCAAAATGAATGACCTTCGTCCATTTTCAAGGTCACAGTGGTCAATATATGTTTAAATCTTTTAATAGGTTCTTATGAATCAGACACTGATATTCTACCTGTAGCTTTATTTTAGTCCACTTTTAAGATTACAAGTGTGAGATTAATACCAGGTGAGCGATTCAGGCCCATCAGGCCTCTTGTTTTTACATACTTTGTGTAACTGAAGTCCTTTTGATTTCTAATTCCGAAAAAAATAAAAAAAAAAAAAATAACACAGAAAGTAATTAAACATTAGGTGAAGCACACGGACCCACCTCTCCCCTTCCCCCTTACCGTATTTGTGACTGTTTTAGAAAGTGTAACACATTTTCTTTTGATCCATTGAATCTATAAACAAGTTTGTAAGAAATTTCTATTAGTATTTTTTCATTAAAAAATAAGGGGTAACTTAAATTTCGTTTCTGAGTAACAAAGATAAGAAATTTTCCTTCCAAAATTCAAGAGAAAATATTAATTTGATCAATTCTGCAAACTTTCATACATATCTGATACCACACTTGGTAAAAAATAAAAAATAAAAACCTAAAATCAGATATCATGTTTTTGTATCTTTAACCGATTATAGCACAAAAAAGGGTACACTGACATAACTTTATAGCATTTTCTAGTATGCCAATAGCTCCTTTTTCAAAAAATGATATTAAAATCCTTCAAAACAATCAATTGATTTTGTCAAGTTTTATTCACAAATGTTTATCCATGGTCTTTGTTGCTATTATTTTTTTCTCAATTACGAAGTAGTGTCTTATTTTGAAGTAATATGCCAAAACATGATAAAGTTGTTTTAAATACGGATCAAGATCGTTCAAGTGCAAAATAATGAAATCCAACTCTGACCAAAAGAGTCCCTTCCTATAGAATTAAAGCACAAAATATAACAGCTTACCATTTTGTTATATGTTTAGGTTTACTATGCGGTTCGAAGTTGCAAGCGGCGGATACATGAGGCTCAGCGATGGCAGTAGAACCAACTTCGTCGGTAAAACCGGAGCCAAGGAAATAAGAATGAAGTTTGATTTCATACCTCCATACCACTGTAGAGATGACAATACTTGTGGGACAGTTCATGAAAAGCCGCCATTACAGGTTGTGAACGACATAACTCGGGTAACATATTTTCTTCTATGACTAATATGTCAGGAATGTCGACATATTTTATGAAAGCATAATCAACTATCTCCACGACAAATGTTTAATTATTCAAAAAATGTACAACACATGTATCATTACATCACCATAAAGCGAAAAAATGTTCCACAACGGACAACAGAAAATACCCTGATACTAAAAACATGTCCAAGTGGAATGGTAAAAATAATCCCCGGATACCATTTGATTATAAGAATAACATAATAGTTTATATCGGGTAAAACATCCTTTTCCAGCAGCCTCATTTGCTGGATCATAAACACGTGGAGGGTGGTGATTTGTAATATTGATTCGGTGTTACTATTTTTAGGACCAGCAGGTCAATATTCACTTTGTGACGTCATTTTAATTGTGACGTCACAATGTTCTACCAATTGGAGTACTTTTCTCCGTACAATTTATATACGTTCAATCTTGTTAAATGATTAAGACTTTATTGAGCATTCAATATACCTATGAAGGACTTTAAATTCGGTGAAGTATCGCTTTCACAAGTTCATTTAACCACATTTTCATCTCAACAAAAGCCAATAATTGATGAAATATATTTAACATGGATAGTAAATATGGTTAATTTAAAAGTATACCACTATCAGAGAAACGTTTGTTTTTTTGTGCTATATCAACATTACTCTATTTTATTTATATTCTGTCAGCACAGGTATTATTCAGTCTCAATGCTGCGACAGTAACAGTTACCGTTCAGATATTCAAAAGAGTTGCATATAGGTTCCAGTCTATTTTCAGCAAAACCGTCATTACTTCCTTCTGTTTATAATGTTTGCATATTGTTTAGATTACTTCCTATGTATACATAACGCGGTGTCATGTGATCATTACGATCCAATCAGTTTTATCAGGCATATAGTCAGACTAAATTTTAATGTCTTTATGACCATGCGTAATATTGCATATCGGGCAATTGCATTTTCTCATCAGGTATACTCACTTATTTATCCATGTTCAGGTGTATGATTTGGTTAAGTTTTATAGGGTTTAACGTCCTATCAACAGCTAACGTCATTTAAGGACGTGCCTCCATGTGTTTCGTGCATGTGTGCCGGTGGCAGGGTATGTTGGCGTATGTGTATCCTTGTGCGTTGTGCATGTGTGCCGGAGGCATGATATGTTGTTGTATTTTTCTCCTTGTGTGTTGAGCGTTGTGCATGTGTGCCGGAGGCAGGGTCTATGGTGCATTTGCCTCCTTGTAATGGTATGAGTAAATTCTGTATAACATGTCCCTGGGAGACGCAAATAGTCGCACATTTTTCGAAATTATATACCAGTTGTATTGACCTGAGTTTTAAGTTTTCATTTAAAACAGTTTAAATCATTTGGTGCTTTATTTTCTTCGATAAAACATATTTTCACCACTATCTTTATTCCAAGTAACCTAAACGGAGCTGGCTTCGTGGACGTTAGATCTTCTGACTACGAGTAAAAATTTCATGAGGTGCAAAATTTCACGAATTTTGAGTGATTAACGAAATTAGCGAAATTAAAACCCTCGTGAATATTAACAAATATAGGGAAATAGTTCTGGATAAAAATAATAGTGTATAACTACAGAAATTAAGATTAAAAAAAAATACGGATATTTCATCTGTGTGTAGTTATATTAAGCCAACATAATCTTAATCCTCTGTTAAATTGATGTGTGTTTATAAAAGTTATTTTTATTACGTTCGTAAACACATAATAAGTTATTAGGACGACTAAAAGGCAAAAAAGACTTGCTAAAGAGATGACATCAAACAAACCAAAACGTAAAAGTCAAACGTGAAATTACAAACTAAAATTGGCTTATATCTTTTTGAACAGGCCAATGGTTTTCAGGTAGTCGGGAATTGGAAAGATATATATTTTTCAAAAGTGAATTGTTTTGAATAAATAAAAATAGTTGTTGCAAGAAACAAAGGATTTTATATAAAATGTATAAACATCAGTAACATACTCTATTTACAAATCATATTTCTTATAGTTTATTAAATGCAATGTTCTCTCAACGCCGTCTTGCTTGTCGATACATAAGCAGGAAAAGTTGAAAGACTTTGAAAACATAAATAAGAGCCAAAGTATATCAGTCAATGAAACCTGTCAAATCTGACGCTCGAGTTTTCAAACATCCTTTTAAATATTCGAAACATGCCATTTCCTGAACAAAATATGAATACCTGTGTGGTCTTATAGAGTATGAGAATATCATTATTCTGTACTTTAAAAATAAACATGACATTTACACATTTATTTCTTTAAACGCATGATGACCATTCAAATAGAACGAATTGTGTATTGCTTTTACCTTTTGTGATCAAAACTGAATGAAAATATTGTTCCACTTTCCTTACAGGACCCTGTCGCTTTGAAATGGTCTGGATGGGGAGACATGCTTTCTGGATTAGATTCGTACGTTTTAGAGGTGTTTAAATTGAGTGGCGGTGGTATTTTCCTGCTAGAAAAGGATCCACTGAAGCCAACTTTTGTATACGAATTCAGCCCAGATGCTCGTGACCACACAGTCACACCGAAAGAACCTGGAATGTATTCTGCAATACTCGGTGTAAAAGACCGCGCAAACAACACCAGGTAAGTTATAGCGTTGCATAAAAACATCAATGATTGAAAAAGAGAGTAAAAATGTAAAAGGAAAATAGTATCATTTTTCGATTCTGTATTATGTTTTACATAGTCATGTAAAATTATCTCACGATACGACCGGGAAAAAATTCAAATAAAATAGATGTGTGGAATTTTGATTTTTTAATGGATTATTTCTTACGGTAGAATTTTGTGCAATCGTGTCATAAATTTGGGCATGATGATGTAGTTAGATGCTCCCTTGGAATACCTAATGCCGGGAAATTGGTGTTCTGAATTAAAACCGTGAATTTTCTTCATCGTACATCTTTCTGTTCAGTGATCAGTGGTCAAGGGTTCAAAACCTATGTTCTTGCCGCGTCACATTTTACTCTCAAAACACTGTTGTTGATTTGTTGTATTTATCTCATCATTTTTTTGTTCATTATTGGCCTTTGATGTAAAACGCTTCTTTTCAGATATGGTATATTTAAGCAATTGTGATGCAGTTAAACTGTTTCAAATCCATACAACCGTCACTGATATGAGCAGCATTTTTAATATGATACATTGAGAGATGTGTACAATGTACAACATGCATATTTCGCATGCTGCTTCGCATTTAACTGTCATCAATTCTTTTTATTTTCGTTCTGAATTTTCAAAAGTAAGCTATATTGACCTTCTGCTGCAATGAGTGTTCAATTGGGATTGCCTTTAAGTAAGCATAATGCCTTTGTGCCTGATGGATTTTTTGTTTACTTCTGGGCCGTACTGAACAAACTACTAACACTGACCAGTTACCCCCAAGTGCAACACTAAGAAAATGCATCTTTTCTCCTCCTTATTCTTTCTGTAGGTGTTTTCAAATAATGTTTTGTTTCTGTGTTACAGATATGTCCGCGAATTATTTCTGTATGACGCCACTTCTGATATATCCAAGGATTCCTTACATCCTTTGCATGTCGCAAGTGCCTCGCGGGAGTCAAATTACCAGTGGCAGGTACCAAACAAAAAAGGAAAGACGTCCATTGAAGTTGATTGGACTGGACACTTTATCAACAAAGTTCACCAGGAAGGAGGCTTTTTGGCCGATGTAAGAGATTACCCGCCACAACTCAAGAACAAATATCTTGATACCGTAGAGAAGGCGGTCTCTACAACGCTAAAGAACCCCTCTGCCACAAGAACAAGTGACCGGATACCAAATGCCAACGGCATTATGAGGTAATATCCATTTACACGTTTAATTAGGTAATAGCGGGTTTTTTTGTTATGAATTGTGCTATTTATTTGTGTGATATCTAGTATAAATTTTATGTTTCGATGTCAATTTTCGGATCTTGCTATGAGGACGAAGCATTATCTTGATATGACTTGATTTAGGAGGCACGGTAGTCTAGTGGTATGACCACTCTGAGACGACCTCCGAACTAGGTTGCGAAAAAGCAGTATATAAGAACTTCCAATTATTATTATTATTATTATTATTGTTTATTATTTTTATTATTATTATTACATTGCATGTGTTGGCGATGAAGCAGAACACTTTCTGGAATATCTTGTCCTGTTTTCCTTTTACATTTTAAAAACTGTCCTTGTTTATTTTTATTTGTTCATATTTAACCTATTTTAAGGAAATATGAGTTCAAATTACGGTTTTGTGGCTAGTTTGTCAGACTCCTGTTTGTTTTCGGTATGAAATATATAATAAGGTTTAATATCAAAATTATTTAAAAGCAACAGCATATTCAGATATGTTTTTAAGATTTTGCTAATTCTTAAGCATTGGTTCTTGTAGATTTCAGCTTAACGTGGAGAACTTTCTGAAGAATGTTGTTCCCAAACCCCCAACGGCTAGTTGGCGCGATATGAGAATATCGGAGAATGCAACTGTTGACGAAAGTGTATCACGGGGGGACTGTGTCCTCGCGTGGGTTCGAGCTTACGATATCATCGGTAACAATGCGACGGACTATGGAATGGTGTGTTTTGATGACTCTCCTCCAGTTATCACAGTGACCAGCTTTGAACGGGATTTCGAGGAGATTTCAAGCAGGTACAGTGCTCTTTGTTATTTCCAATATTTGGTTTAATCAATTTTCATTACTTTCCAAGCTATGTTTCGAGAAATTTTCGCCGCTGTTGGAATTTTGCAATTTTGGCCGTTCGTATTAGGGACGAATTTGTCATTAGCTAATTACATAATAAACATTGTAACAGAATGCGAAAGACGAAATGAACACTGGGCAAATATGAATTTACCAACGTATAGTGAAAATTGGACCAGGCGATAATTCGATGGTATACATAAAGTAATGGTTATAACAGAAACAATGAAACACATTGTTGTTTCTGAAGAATAATAACAGTTACTAAGCATAATACCGGTTAACAACTCATTGCTGTTTAATGTAAGATGAAACAATCTTAAAATGAAATAATGGAGGTATTCGTGCTGGTCGTTTGTGATTTCGTTTTTAAGGTGGGAGCAATTATGATGGACATTGTAGTGATATTATCTTTTTGTGTAGAATTCTCCTCCGCACGTTGGATCGCGACAGCGGTATTGCTATGGTAACGTGGTCCTTCAGAGACAATGTCACACAGGAGACTATTGACATACATGACAACATAGCTGTTACTAGAAAAACAGTTAATGTAAGTATTCTAAAATAGTTTTGTATTTTTTAGAAGCTCTATGAAAAGTTATTCGAACGGCAGACTGTAGATCAAATATGTTTCGCGAAATAGAAATGTAAAGCGATAGGAAGTAGTTGGGATTAGTTTGTTTGGGGTTCAACGTCCTCGAAACAGCCAGTGTCATATAATGACGGGTGCTTAGGTAGACACGGTCGGGAAGAGAAAGCAGATAGAAAAGACAGAAGGCAAGAAAGATCGGGAAAGTGTTGCAATTAGTTAACAGATCAATTTTATATCTTCAATGTCCCCTAAGTATAAGACATAAACGAAAAATAAACTATCTTGCAGGACGTCCGACATCAGTCGCCACCTACCCTCCATATGCAGTTAGATACAGCAGATCTTTTCGTGGTTTCTTCAATGTCACATAAACAGATGACAAGGAAGTTTGGTTTGGTTTTATATTGTTTAACGTCCTATCAACAGCTAAGGTCATTTAAGGAGCGTGCATGTGTGTGCCGGATACAGTATATGTTGGTGCAAATTACTCCTTGTGATAGTACGTCCTGATGCCGACTTTATAGTGCTTTCTTACTGAAATACCATGCCTAACGCACTCAGCACAGAATTCCCGGTCCCATTATACTGACAACGGGTAAACCAGTTGTTGCCACTAACACAAATGCTGAATGTTAAGCAGGGAATAACCACTACCATTTTCAAGGACTTTGGTATGTCTTGGCCTGGGGGCAGAACCCATTGCCTTTGTCACCAGGACGAACAACATTAAAGCAAAAAGGGAGATGTTGCCAAGAAAGGTGCTAGGAAATAAAAGATAGTTAGAAGTAGAAAGAAATAGAAAGATCCTTAATATTGCAATGGGTGCGAAAACAATACAACACCTTACTCTGCAGGCGAATATTATTATACATCAAACCATATAAAAAATCCACATGTAAAGGGTGATATTAAAACTGAGCAAACATGGATTATACCGGTGATGGGCGAAATAGTTTCCCAGTATATTATCCAGTTGAATATATTCCTAGTGAATCGCATCCTGTGAATATTTCAAAATTTCTTTGATATCTTTTCGAAAAGCGATTCACTTTTTTATCAAATGAGCAAGTATATTGTGTTACAATTTGTTGTAGAGCACACAAGAGGAATGTGACACGATTGGAGACTGCTACTGTATCAATACAGGAGAGTGCTTTCCTGAAGACAATCAATTGGATATTGATCACTGTATTCTCTATCAACCCCGTATTGAAAATACTGAAACCAACTATATCATGACACTGACCGCCTTTAATCAGGCCATGCAGAACATGTCCACTGAATATTTCGTGAGTATAACTTTGTTAAATGAAATCTCTGCCCATAGCTGTTCTTCTCTGTCTCACTTACACCTCTATCAACGTTTAAAAGTGGTCTGCATTTATAATTAGCCTCTGATCATGTGACACTTGGTTATGTTGGCCTTGAACAAAATCAACTTTTTAAACAACAGGCAAGTTCACCAGCATGTCACGTTTTCCTTTATATAAATTCCAATGTTTCGATCTGTTTGCCAGTTGAAACCAAACACCTGGGTCATACTTTGCAATTTTGATAATTTACTCATCATGAATTACACATTTGTAGTTTTGTTTATTTGGCGTACGTAGATACCATGCCGTATATCACAATGACGTACACAAAAATGATCTTATTATTTTTTTGTGTTGAAAATTTGTCTTACGGTAACATTTTTGGGAGAAATGAAGTTTTTTAATCAATTAATTATGTAGAACATTGCTGAAACAGCTTCAGCTCAAATACCATTTAGCCGTTGATAGAAATGTAAATTAACAACTCTCGGTAGCGATTATGGTAACAGATTTAGGTAAAGGTTGTTTTTGTAGTGTAATAAAGTGATTTTAGTCTCCTTAATCTGTTAGCTGCATAACATTTAGAAATACTTAAGAAATGGAATTTTTGGTCTGTTGACACTTAGTAGCACTGATGAACCCTAAACAGATGAAATGGCTATATCATCTTGTTACATGTTTACTTTGTACGGATTACTGCATCTACAAATATTTCTTTCTTTCAAATAGTCTGTTTGTCTAATTTCTAGCAATGATTTAGTTTGAACCTTCTAAGTGTTTTTCAATCCTAATCCAAAAATATTTATTTAAAAACATAATCAGGATATGCAAAAAAAACCAAATATATTGCAATGGGTGTAGCAGATTTATTTTGATCGCTTTTGTGTTCCCTAATAGGGGGTACAATAGCCAATCCCAAATTATGCAGGGGTTTACGTACAAGTTGCCTCTTACGATAAATGCTGTGGGTAACAGCAGTAGTGTTCTTTTCTCGATCCCCGACCTGCAGGAGAGGAGATGTTATGACATTAAACATCAAAGTTTTAAATGTTTCCTATACCGCACTTATTTTCCATACTGATTCAGCTACAACGGAACAACGTAATAATGGCAACGGCTATCAAAATCTTCAATCCTGTAGTATATTTTGTCATAATAATAAAAATAAAAATGATTTGAGGTTCTTATATACCGCTTTTTCACAACCTAGTTCGTAGGTCGTCTCAAAGCAGTCCACAAGTTATTATCCGTGGCTATAGGGCCCTTGCAACAAGCCAATATCTTTCTCAACTCCCTGGGAAGCATACAGCCGGTGCTGCCATTTCGGCGCTCACAGGTAGCATTCTACAATTCTAGCACTGCCCAACCACGTACTCATTTATAGCTGAGTAGACTGGAACCAGCGATGTTAAGTATCTTGTTCAAATATAGAAAAAGTGCCTTGCCGGTGTTCGAACCCGCGACCCTTCGGTCACGAGTTCGGCGTCCTACCACTAGACTTCCGTGCCTATATAATATTTCCTTGACATATAAATGAATTTAACTGAGAATTTAAATCGTTATCGTTGTTTAAATAACGTGTGGTTCAATTTTACAGTTACTATACATTTAACGCCATACAGTCTATGTTATCTTATTTAAGTTTTAAACGATGAAGACATTTTTAAACTTTAAGTGAAATCTTTGTTTCCGTTGCAGATCGAGAACGTCCAAAACCTGAATGGCATGGACTACTGTAAGTAATGCATCATGTTATATGTAGCTACTCAAATGTAGGGCTGCAACGATATATCGTATCGTATAGTATCACGATACTTTCTTTTGTGTCATATCGAATTGTTTTGATTGTCTGTATCGCGATACACTTACAGTAATCAAATTATCAATCATTTTCTATAAAACTCTAAAAAAGAGTGTACTTATTTTTATTGAATCCTTCTGCAAAGCTGTGGTCTACTGTGCAGTCATACCCAAAAGTACTAAACATTATGCAAAGAAATATTTCGATATTATTTACTATTGGAGTCTATAATACATTATAAAGTTGACCTTTAAAGCAGATTTGTATCGTAATACGTATTGTATCGTTAGCATCGTACCGCGATATGTACCGTATCGATGCAGCCCTACTCAAATGATGGCATCATATCACGATTTGTGGTCAACAACACTTTTATGTCCTTGTATTTGCTAACGGACTTACGAAACAATGCCTGCATAAAGGACGTTCATAGTGTCGATATAATTACAAAAGCGATGTTTTACCCTATTTAGGTGCGAGGAAATTCCGGGAGCGGCTTGTCCTTTCGGAAGCGCTGACTTCAGGTGGAATATCAGGGATAGTTATAAGTGAGTAAACAACATTTCGTAACGACCTTGCTTTATTAAAAGATTGAACGAGTCTACTTTATGATTGCAGACTGTGGTGTGATTAAATAAAAATAAGAGATTTACATTTACTATCTACCGAGTGATTTTTGACGTCCTTGATTACATTTCTTTAACTTTGATGTCTTCTAGGTTCTTGTTTTGTCTTTTTTTTTACCTTGTGCGTTGTTGTCTCTTAAAACTGTGTTTCTCTGTTGCATGCGTTTCACAAGTATTTCATAAGTTATTCGTTAGCAGTTCTATCATTGGTTCAAATAGAATTTTTAATTATAGCTTATAGTCAACATGCACTAGTTTGTAAATCTCTTAAAATACAAAACCATTTTTTACCATTCTGAAAAAAACCCATTGTAATGAATGTTACCTAATACGGTTCGTATTGTCCTGTAAAACGTGCTTGGAGAATCCGACAATAACTAATACTTGCGTACTACTGTACTTTACAGGTGGGATACTCTTCCTCGGAATCGTATTCATTCTGCTGTTCTTGATAAAGACTGGGCGTCTACGGAAGGTCAGCGAAAGAAGTCAGGAAGGCATACGTTCAATTCGTCGATCCATCCGAAAAGGACATGGCATGGACGGACTTGCAAGTTACAAGGTGAAAATGGCAAAGAGTACTGTCATTTGAATATGATTTTGTGAGATCAAACAATTATCAAGTTCTTCAGAGGTAACAGATACGTCCTTTAATTCACTATTTCTTAAAATCCATTTATTTAGTGGAACAGATAAATGGAGCCACTTCAATTGTGACATCAATTATATCTCTCACAAATAAAACAAAAACCTAAGTATTAAATAGATCACATTTACAGTTAGATTTTGTTTTATAGACAGGGGGATTCGATGAAGATGACATATACATGTATGGTCATCAGACTTACGAGCATGCTCCCGACTGGATTATTCGTCCGGAGGATTTGACACTCAACAATTTAATCCTCATTGGAAAGTTTGCAAAAATCTATGAGGCCAGTCTACTTCAATCTGGGCAACAGCAGGCAGTGGTGGCAAAAACATTAAAAAGTGCGTTGTATTTTCTGCGTAATCAGCAATGAGGGTGTTATTTAATTGCAATTTCAATACATTGGGTAAATTGCAATTTCAAAAACATTGGGTAAATAGTATTACATTACATATCCGCCAAATGGCGATTTGCTTAGCATAGAAAAAATGCATTTAATAAAACTGATTTTATATATATAACAAACACAATATTACTTGTTCCAACCAATACCTAATCAAATAATCTTATAACCTATTTATATATTGAAAAGTGAAACCAGATCTATACTGTAACGAAGACATATTGTTTTGATTGGATGTATTTGTAGCGGCAGCATTTTTTTCTTCTTTCAGCCGATTTCACAGAACAGGACTCGGTCTTGATGACGGCTAAGATAAACTTCTTCGGCACAAAGGTGGGACGGCATTCGTGTGTCTTGGAAATGGTCGGAGCAATCCTAGACGATGAAAAGAGTAAGACTATATGGATAGAATATTTGATTATATAAGTCAACACATTTTTATAGTACAGTGTCTCTCCGTCTATATAACACCAGTCTGTCCCATACATGTTAAACTACCCATTATGAGCGTGAGTTATGCGATTCTTGCCCGGGCGATTATATCTGAATGCCTTTCATGTGTCTCTTGCCCGGGCGATAATATCTGAATGCCTTTCCTGTGTCTCTTGCCCGGGCGATTATATATGAATGCCTTTCCTATGTCTCTTGCCCGGGCGATAATTTATGAATGCCTTTCCTGTGTCTCTTGCCCGGTCGATAATATATAAATGCCTTTCCTGTGTCTCTTTTCGCAAACATATTAGCTACTGATCGGTTGTATATCAATTTGTTTTATTCAACAGTTGTTTTAAACAATATGGATTAATAATGTGTTGGTCTTTAGCATCACGAATGACTACTAAAAGACGAAACAGCTTATGATACAGTTTAATTAATTTTTGGCCATTGAAACTTGAAACTATGACACGTCGGTGATGTCTTTTTATCCATGTAAGTATACACAAGACTAAAAGCTAAGAGAAAAAGAAGGGGTGACGTAAAAAAGTCTTATTGTTTTGCATAACTTTTTGTTACAATACGAAAACAAACATCTTCATTTGCTCTGAATCAGTGGTGTCGTATTAATAACAACATTTGTATCGCACAACTGGGGATCATAAAAACATTCTGATCACATGTCATCTCTTTGGTTTTCAAGTGGGACCCGTTATGGTACTGGAGCGTTGTGGCTACGGCTCGGTGAAGGACTGGCTTATCAATAACAAAGACCGCACTGCTGACTCTACCATCGACTTCCTCTTCCGATTTGTGTATTCCATTGTTCAAGGAATGGAATATCTGGCAGGTCGAGAGGTCTGTTCTTATATGTTATGTCATTGTGATTGTACCTCATTCATTGCAAGAGTAGATTACAGTCAGTTTTTTTCCTCTCATCCCAAACGGTCGTTTTTGGATGTCCCAAGCTAGGTTCAGTGCATCAGTATTCACCTGACTAAAATAACAGTTTCTATTAGTACCAGTTGTGAACCAATTGTTGCAATTACCCAAACTGCTGAGAATGCATGGAATAACGTAACAACTTCTATTTTAAGGACATGTCGCGGCTTGGGGACAGATCCCATTGAACGTCAACAATAAGGCCCAAAGTACGGTCTGCCCAAGCAAGACACTAGGAAACAAAAAGGTTCTTCGATAGTATAGAGAAAGGACATCGGTCCTTTTTTGTCATGTCCCTTAGAAGAAACAACGGACAAAAACGATCCCTACCCCTGATTCTTCAGGGAGCCCCCTCTCGTCTCTTACGTGAGGCAATTGGAAGCAATGATACCAATCGTATTGCTTGTAAAGTTTGGGCCTTTATCCTCACTGATATTAATCATTTGGTTCTTACTTAGATTACTCACATGCGTTTGGCTGCCAGGAACGTATTGTTAACGGACAAGCTTGAAACAAAGATCGCGGGTTTTGGACCCCGCCATGGTGATGACGAAGAAGACGGAGAAAAGAAAGTCAGTATATATCTATTTTATTATCAATATATGTATCTTTATATTTGATCATTCATGTAAACGTTTTATTATACTTCACACTATCGATGATTTGCTTACATCGACAATCACACACTGGTTAATAAATATATATCGCATTATGGATAACGTTGTCAAATGCGTAGTTTAAATATAAGTAACATGGGCACGTTACATAGTAATATATACGTGTTGATATGGGGCGACAACTATAAACAATCAGGAATACTGAACAGCATTTGATTTTACTTTTCAAATCCTATACCTTGGTATAAAACTATCGTCTACCCATTGCAATACCGTTTGAACTGCGACTTTTGATTTTTGGGAGAGAGAAAAAAAAAACAATTTAACGATGATTTTGGGAAAATACAACAGAAATTATCTAGAGGAATGATCCTTTATAAGACACAACAGTTACCTTCCTAATGGTACACCTAGACCAGAATTTTTTTTACTACTTGACAATTTTGCACAGCCTTGTGCTATGCTTAGTATTACTTTTACCAAGTGTTTTGTCGTTCATTACTGAATGGCCTTGTTTGGTTGAAAGTACAGCAAGACTACCTTAATATATTACCGTTTGTTCTTGCATCAGTATGACCTTGTTTTGTGCTGATAGAAATATATAAATCAAATTATCTACGTTTAACCCACGTGAATAAGTGTCAAACTTTGTGAACTGCAACATAATGACAAGAAAGACGGATGATTGTCAATATTTGTTTATAGATAAGAACTCGACGGCAGTAAAATTCTCGTACTATTCGTTTAATTCCTTTCAAAGAGTTCGGCCCAATTTAGTTATTCTCTGTCTTACTTTTAAATTATCTCAAAGTATTGAAATACACAGACATCTTAGTTTTGTTGACGAATCTGCGATAAATATCATTCAAATTTAAACGTAGTGATTAATACGCGTCATTAACTTTCAACTTAACTAACAATAACATGAATCTGATATTTTCCATGATATATATGTATGTGCACTTAATGGATTTGTTTTCATTTTCAGGAACGCATTCCAATAAAGTGGATTGCTCCAGAATGCGTAAGCAATAGCAAGGCGGCATCGGAGAAGTCAGATGTGTGGTCGAACGGCGTGGTCATGTGGGAAATATTTTCATTTGGTAAAATATTTTGTTATTCTTCGGCAAAAGTCAATTGTCTTTATCCTGTGACTTGTAAATACTTCCTTCAACGATGTTGTTAACGGTATTAGTTCCACATAAGTAAATGTGGTGTCCACACAGCTACCGGTTGAAGTCTTCAGCTAACCAGAATTGACGATGTGCCCACAAACGCATTAAAACATACAGACATTCATGCGCGTGTATCGTGCATAAGAGGAAATCATCATTGCCATATCGATATTAACAAAGGTTAACATTACACTTTACAGGAGAAACCCCCTATCCGAAGATTAGGTCGGCCGACCTGTCCCGTGCACTCAAGAAAGGGGAACGACTTCGCCGACCTGAATTCTGCGACAAAACGTAAGGAACCACCGGAAACAATTCTTCCGGGGAGCTAACACAAAAGCTATTATTTCTCAAATAAGTCTCATTTCATTTAGCTTTTAAATAGTTTTAGTATATCATTGGACATCAAGTCCGTTACACATTTTGTTTTTGTAGAAAATTGACCTATAAATTGCAATTTTCATAGTGATATTGAGATTTTTGATTGAATTTCAAAAACACACTTCTGAAATAAAATGCCTTCTGTTTCAGTCATTACGACATCATGGAGAGATCATGGAACATGAAACCAGCACAAAGACCAACGTTCCGAGAAGTTCGCGAACAAATTGAAAATGAGTTCAACGCATCAGGGGATGTTGACTACTACGACGCAAATTTTGCCAACAATTAAACTGATGTTTTGGGGAAAAAAACACTTGCACTGGTTTAAATTCGATGGGTATTTGTCGATCTATCTTTGTCACTTTTTCTGATTTCAACACCTCCAGGATCATAGTAAAAATTTGAAATAGATTTCCAAAAACAATTATTTTCCATGGCGTTTATTTGTTAAGTTACTAAAAGCCCTAAATGCTATTGTGGAAAAAGATACTGTAAATGTATATACATGACATCATAAAGGAGGCACACATTTATAAACAAAAAATTGTTGATACATATAGCTAAACAAAGTAGGAACTTTACTGAAGCATATGAACATTTCATTATATGTTCTTGTGTTGAAGCATATGAACATTTCTTTATACGTACTTGTGTTACCCTTGTTAACAATTTGAGATAAATATGTATGTTATAGCATTAACATACTCGCAACCGACATATAATTGCCAGTAAAGAAATTAGTATAAACTGCAGCAATATAACCTAAAGCAGTATCCTACTGAGATATCGCCTATAGAAGTATCTAACGGAGATATCACATGTAGCAGCATCTCACTGCGATATCTCCATTAGCTGTGTTCTTCTGAGATATTACATATACCAGTATATTACTTAGATATCGCCTATAAAAGTATCTAACGGAGATCTCACATGTAGCAGTATCTCAATGCGATATCTCCTTTAGTTGTGTTCTTCTGAGATATTACATATACCAGTATATTACTGAGGTATCGCCTATAGAAGTAGCTAACGGAGATATCTCATTTAGCAGTATCTCACTGCGATAGCTCCTATAGCTGTGTTCTTCTGAGATATTACCTGTACCAGTATATTACTGAGGTATCGCCTATAGAAGTACCTAACGGAGATATCACATGTACCAGTATCTCACTGCGATAGCTCCTATAGCTGTGTTCTTCTGAGATATTACATATACCAGTATATTACTTAGATATCGCCTATAAAAGAATCTAACGGAGATATCACAAGTAGCAGTATCTCACTGCGCTATCTCCTTTAGCTGTGATCTTCTGAGATATTACCTATCGTAGTATCTTACTGAGATATCGCCTATAGAAGGATCTAACGGAGATATCATATGTAGCAGTATCTCACGGCGATATCTCCTTTAGCAGTGTTCTTCTGAGATATTACATATACCAGTATATTACTGAGGTATCGCCTATAGAAGTAGCTAACGGAGATATCTCATTTAGCAGTATCTCACTGCGATATCTCCTTTAGCTGAGTTCTTCTGAGATATTACCTGTACCAGTATATTACTGAGATATTGCCTATAGAAGTATCTAACGAAGATATCACATGTAGCATTATCTCACTGCGATATCTCATTTAGCTGTGTTCTTCTGAGATATTACCTGTACCAGTATATTACTGAGATATTGCCTATAGAAGTATCTAACCGAGATATCACATGTAGCAATATCTCACTGAGATATCTCCTTTAGCTGAGTTCTTCTGAGATATTACATATACCAGTATATTACTAAGATATCGCCTATAAAAGAATCTAACGGAGATATCACAAGTAGCAGTATCTCACTGCGCTATCTCCTTTAGCTGTGATCTTCTGAGATATTACCTTTACCAGTATATTACTGAGATATCACCAATAGCAGTTTCTTACCGAGATAACATCTATTACAGTATCTTCCTGAGATATTACCTAAACCAGTATATTACTGAGATATCGCCTATAAAAGTATCTAACGGAGATCTCACATGTAGCAGTATCTAACTGCGATATCTCCTTTAGATGTGTTCTTCTGAGATATTACCTTTACCAGTATATTACTGAGATATTGCCTATAGAAGTATCTAACGAAGATATCACATGTAGCAATATCTCACTGAGATATCTCCTTTAGCTGTGATCTTCTGAGATATTACCTTTACCAGTATATTACTGAGGTATCGCCTATAGAAGTATCTAACCGAGATATCACATGTAGCAATATCTCACTGAGATATCTCCTTTAGCTGTGTTCTTTTGAGATATTACCTATACCATTATATTACTGAGATATCACCAATAGCAGTTTCTTACAGAGATAACATCTATTACAGTATCTTCCTGAGATATTACCTAAACCAGTATATTACTGAGATATTGCCTATAGAAGTATCTAACGAAGATATCACATGTAGCATTATCTCACTGCGATATCTCCATTAGCTGTGTTCTTCTGAGATATTACATATACCAGTATATTACTGAGGTATCGCCTATAGAAGTAGCTAACGGAGATATCTCATGTTGCAGTATCTCACTGCGATTTCTCCTTTAGCTGTGTTCTTCTGGGATATTACCTATACCAGTATATTACTTAGATATCGCCTATAAAAGAATCTAACGGAGATATCATATGTAGCAGTATCTCACGGCGATATCTCCTTTAGCAGTGTTCTTCTGAGATATTACATATACCAGTATATTACTAAGATATCGCCTATAAAAGAATCTAACGGAGATATCATATGTAGCAGTATCTCACGGCGATATCTCCTTTAGCAGTGTTCTTCTGAGATATTACCTATACCAGTATATTACTGAGATATCACCTATATCAATATCCAACTGAGATATCACCAATAGCAGTTTCTTACCGAGATAACATCTATTACAGTATCTTCCTGAGATATTACCTAAAATAGTTTCCTACTGAGATACCGCCAAAAGCGGTGTTCTGCTGAGATATTACCTAAAGCAGTATCTTACTGAGATATTACCTATAGCAGTGTTCTTCTACGATGTCACCTATATCAGTGTCCTTCTGAGATATATAACCTATAGCAGAGTCCTACAAATAAAATGGTAAACATTTAGTGGCTAAAAGTACACTTTTCTTTAAAACGTGACAGCGTGTCTGTCATGTTAAAAGATCGTTGGTTATCCCTTTACTGATAAAAAAAAGCCGTAGGAACAACATGAAGTCTACTAAATGAGCTGTAAAATAAAGTTATTGCCTTGTGTTTAAGGATATGGATATATTGAAAAAGGAAAACTATGTCTAGATATTTCCGTCAGGATTCCAGACTTTGTCAATGAAATTGCTTATAAACATCAGTACATTTTGCTTGAAAAACATGAAAATAATTAAAAAAATTGTATTTGTATTGTTTAAAAAAAAAATCGCATAGGTTCTGTTCACTTTCCTAATATGAATATTAATACCAAAATCTGAAGTTAACCACGCACCCAATATAACACATTTTCCTATTTTGCCTATACTACTAGTTGTAATTCTTTTTTTTTTCTTCATATAGAAATTCTCATGAAAACACCTTTTCACATTCACTTTTATCATCCAGTCTTTACACTATTCATACAACTTTTCAACGTCACTCTGTTGTCCCATTGCAACACTTTTTTTACCAGCTTTCTGATTCTGGCGGTGTCTCCCTAGGCACCCGTCATTGTATGACACTGGCTGTTGCAAGGACGTTCAACCCTTTACACACAAATCTGTAATTAGATACAATCTGAGATGTCCCCTAACAGACTATCAATAGCAAACAGTAACGTGTTAGAATGTTCTAAAACAAATGTCAGATCGTTGACAAAAATAATTTAGAACCTTAAATTCAACCCCGCAGAATCTCCATCGCACAAATCGGAAGTTCTGCCGATGAAACTACCGGGGTTGTAGTTAGTACATATTTTTCATCCTTTACGCAATTTAAAAGCCTACTGATTTTTGATTACATAACATAAACCTTTTGTTTTATCTTGTATTTTTGGATTCGATGTGGTAAATAAAATAAATGTTCTTTTTTCCTAGAACAGTGGTATTTGTGTTATTTGTGAAGGAAACAACAACATGGAAACAATAAGATATGACGTCACAATAAGCTATCGGCAGGATAGGTCATTTGCAAATCAGGATAACGAAATCGATTCTTAAAGCTACTAAATATTTCAAAACAATCTTAAACTTAGAATTTGAATGATGGAAGAAAAATAATCATCCCAACCATAAGAGCGTGACGGAGAAATAATCAACCGTCGGGACGATTGTTTAGGTGTCTAATCCTCGGCAAAGTCTCGGATAAGACAACTAAAAATATCATTCCTCGAGTTTGACATTTCTCTTACGCATTCAATCGAATCGGAGATTTCTCTATCACATCCTCAAAGTAGGAGAATATTATATTAATTAGAATATAATTTAAGTCAACCGGAAAGAACGGATTGTCGAGTGTTTTCGAGTGTTGGAGTTTCACAAGAGGGCGATTATTAAAATGTTAAAACATAACCTTTTCGTCATGAATAGGAAAGGTCACCACAAAATCAAAAATAACCTGCCGTAGAAAATCTTGTATTCGCATGTTGGAATGAACAGAGTTATCCAATCATGCAAGAGAAACGATTGAGAGAAAATAACTGTCGGAAAAGGATAACTTGATCGTCTTTCCGAGCGTCCATATACAAGAAGCTATAAAAGTCTTATGTAGCAGAAGGAGGGAAACTTTCTGAATTGTTGTCTCCATCATTTTTAGCTCACCTGGCCCGAAGGGCCAAGTGAGCTTCTGGCATGGTGCAGCGTCCTTCGTCCGTCCGGCGTCAACTTTTTATTTTAAACAACTTCTTCTCAGTAACCAAAAGGCCTAGGGAGATGATGTTTGGCCAGAAGCATGCTGGGATAACGGGCTACCAAGTGTGTTCAAATAAATGCCCTTCATCCATTTTCAAGGTCACAGGGGGCAAATATGTTAAAATCTTTAAACAATTTCTTCTGAATAACCAAGAGGCCTAGGGTGATGATATTTTGCAAGTAACATGCTGGGATGAAGGGCTACCAAATTTGTTCAAATAAATGACCTTCACTTATATTCAAGGTCACAGGGGTCAAATATGTTTTAAACCTTTAAACAACTTCTTCTGAATAAGCGAGAGAGCAAGGGTGATGATATTTTGCAAGTAACATGCTGGGATGAAGGGCTACCAAGTAAGCTCAAATAAATGACCTTGACTGATATTCAAGGTCACAGGGGTCAAATATGTTTAAAACCTTTAAACAACTTCTTCTGAATAACCGGGACGGCTATGGTGATGATATTTGGCCAGTAACATGCTGGAATGAAGGGCTACCAAGTTTGTTTAAATAAATGACCTTGGTTATATTAAAGGTCACAGGGGTTAAATATGTTAAAATCTTCAGACAACTTCTTCTGAATAGAGGCCCAGGGTACTGATATTGGGCCTGTATCATGCTGGGATAAAGGGCTACCAAGTTTGTTCAAATGAATGACCTGGACCCACTTTCAAGGTCATGAGGTCAAATGTCATTAAATCTTCAAACAACTTCTCCATAACAGAAAGGCCCAGGGTACTGATATTGGGCCTGTAATATTCTGGGATGAAGGGCTACCAAGTGTGTTCAAATGAATGACCTTGACCCACTTTAAAGGTAACAGAGGTCAAATGTTATTAAATCTTCAAACAACTTCTCAATAACCAAAAGGCCAAGGGTACTGATATTGGGCCTGTAGCATGCTTGAATGAAGGACTGCCAAGTTTGTCCAAATGAATGACTGACCCACTTTCAAGGTCACAAGGGTTGAATATGTTAAAAACATTTAAAATAACTTCTCCTGAATAACCAAGAGACCTAGGGTGATGATATTTGGCTAGTAGCATGCTGGGATGAAGGGCTACAAAGTTTTGTTCAAATGAATGACCTTCATCTTTTTTCAAGGTCACATGGGTCAAATATGTTTTAAAACTTTAAACAACTTCTTCTGAATAACCAAGAGGCCTAGGATAATTCTAGTAATATGATGGGATGAAGGGCTACCAAGTTTGTTCAAATGAATGACCTTGACCCACTTTCAAGGTCACAGTGGTCAAATATGTTTTAATAAACAACTTCTTCTGAATAACAAGAGGCCTATGATGCTGCCAGAAACATGCTGAGATGAAGGACTACCACGTTTGTTCAAATGAATGACCTTGACACATATTCAAGCTCACAGGGGTCAAATATGTTAAAAACCTTTAAAAGACTTCTGAATAAGCAAAAGACCAAGGGTGATGATATTCACATTAACATGCTGGGATGAAGGGCTACCAAGTGCTGGGTTGGAAGACTATAAACTCTGTTCAACCTAATGTCCTTGTTTGACATTCAAGGTCACAGGCGTCATATGTTTAAATCTTTTAATAGGTTCTTGATATTCTGCCTGTAGCTGTGTTTTAGTCCACTTTTAAGATGACAATTGTGAGATTAATACCAGGTGAGCGATACAGGCCCATTGGGTCTCTTGTTGTTTGATAATCTGATACACTTAAGTGCAGAGTGAAATATTATATTCATGGAAAGTGATGTAATAATTGAGATTGTGGTTAACAGTTTACATTTAAATGACAACGTCAAATTCCTAAAATGAGTGACAGAGAAAACACTGAGGTATTCTTTGTAAGAGGCCGGTCAATATCGTTTAATCAAACTTAGGGT